GGTGTCCCAGGCAGCTGCACAGCCCCAGGCTGGCCTCACGGGCAGGCCTGGCTTCCGCCGTGGTTGTCCAGCAAGCGCTGGGCCTGCAGGCGCCACCGTGAGGGGGGCTCTGCCCTAGCACAGACGGGCAGGGGCTGGGTACAGACCCAGGCTGGGACCCCTCACCTTCCTTCTTGGCGTTTGCCCTGCAGACGGCACCTCTTAGCTCCTGTCCTTTTCCACCCTCCTTCTCTAGCTGCTTCCTGACAAGAAGGCGGTCCTGTGTCACTGTAGGGAGCTCGGTGTTAGTGCAGATGAGGAAGTAGAGACCAGGGCCAGCAGGTGGCGTGGAGATTAAGGCAGGGGGACCCCACATGGCCAGCTTCGCAGTTCGAGTCCTAGACCTGCCTGAGAAACCCAGTAGGCGAGAGTGTGTGTGACAGAACCCAGGAGGAGGGGGGAGAGGGGACTGCCACGTGGCCGCCCCCCGGGTGATTTCGCACTTTCCCTCTCTTTGGCAAGTGCATGCACCTTATTGCAAAATTGAAAAGACAAAAACCCAACAAGAAGTAAAGGCGGAAGACAAACCGTAGTCCCACCTGGGAAGGGCGCAGGGCAGGTGGCGCCCCTGCTGGCCTCGCTCGCCTCGCGGAGCCACGCCCCTCTGCTCTCACTTCTCCGTGCTGACACGCGCGTTGTACACGCGTCTCGTTTCTCACGGCTTGGAGGTTTCTCCAGCTGGATGGCTCTAAACGAGTGCCCACCTTCCTGGGGCCCGGGGCCCTCTCCCTGACATCTGGCCAGGCTCACGTCTGGGGCGCCACACCGACTCTTCTGCGTGAGGCGTGTCTCTGCATGCCCTCAGGTCGGGCAGGTTGTGCAGTGTCACCGGCCAGCCATTCTCAAGCTCTGGGACTTCCAGCAAGGCGTGGGCATTTCCACAGAAGTCCCCCCACGCCACCGGAGCCTGCCGGGGCGTCCCTACTCCGGGTCGACAGCTGCAGCGGCCGTCACCGCTTCTGTCCCCACGTGCTAAGCGTCACGCGTGTAGCTCTCCCTGCCATTCCTTTTTATCTTCTTCACTGCGCCTCCTTCACTGCGTCGGAAGGGCCAAACCGTGAGGCTCTTACCGGGTCTTCGTTGGCTCTTCATGTAAGGCGACTTAGAGCCGACCTTGCAGACGACCACGTTCAAGAGTTCTCTGCAGCCGGCGCGTGACTTCTGCGACCGCAGCGAGGCCCAAGCTGGGGAAGGAGGGCCCGGGTGCTCCTGTGTCGGCCGCACACCACAGCCCAGGGACACGGCATACCCCTGGAGCTGGGGCCTCCCGTGACCAGGCGTGTACCAGTCTAGGCGCTGGGGCTCCACTGGAAGCCTCCATAGAATCAGGGCACATTTGAGCTGAGAGCGAGTCCGGGGGTCTGGGAGCGGCCGGCTCCAGCTCCCCCACATGCCATACCAGTCCTGGGGAGCGTGGGGAGCGCGCCCTGCCAGACTCCGGGGCTCTGCCCACCATCAGAGCGGGCTCACGTGAAGCCCATCAGCCCGCGTCGTGCTGAGTGTCGCTCATGGCTGTGTGTGCGCACTCCCTCTGAGGGCTGGCGCGGGGCTGCAAGGGGTCTGCTGCTCCCCCGTGGTTTCCCGCCGACCCCACACGCATCATTCCTGTTCTCTCACCTCCCGCTGCCTTCCCGCAGCTGCTGTTCCAGAGAGGAGGCGCGTACCACATAGCCGTAAGTACAGCCCGTTCTGGCTGTGTCCTCACCTGCGTAGTTTCCCGAGACCTTTCTCTGTGTGACGTCACGCTGCTGTGGCCTGTGCCGACACTGTCGAGGAGGGTCATCGGGAAGCCCGAGGTGGTCAGAGAGGGCCGCACCAGCTCCAGACCTGCCAGGGTGCAGGACGCTGGCAGCTGGCCCACCTGGCACTTGGTTGGCCCCTTGCCGTGTGGAGCAGCACAGACTCGGCCTTCCCCTGCTGGAGGGTGGCTTCCAGGCTGCCCGGTGCGGGGGTCTGTCCCACCTAACCCTCAGCCCTCGTCTCCAAGACGACCAGTGAGGAGGGACGTGGCCTGCCAAGTCTGCTGTCGGGGGATACAGGCCCTCCCTCAGCCTGACGAGGGCAGGGCAGGGTGAATGAGAGCACTCCCACTGTGCTCACGTGGCCAGTGGGTCTCGTGGATCTGGTCCACGCGAGGCTGGCGCTGTGGCCGATGGACAGTCCGGCCACTTCCTTGCAGTTGCCCAGCAGAGCAGGCGGGCATGCCCTGGAGCTTGTGTGTGCACTTCCCGACGCTCCCCTGCGGTGCAGGGTCAGTTCAGGCTACCCACTCAGCCCCAGCCGCTGCGGTCCATGGGCAGCCGCGGGGACTCGGCGCTCCGCTCTGTCTGGAGGGCCACTCGCCACAACCAGTCTGATGACTCCCATGGGTGTCCAAAGTCCCAAGTCATGTGTGACCTCCATGAGGCCTGCCCAGCTGACCTGCTGCAGGTCAACCTGGGAGGGAGTGGGAGTGGAGGATGGGAGCTGATGGGACAGACCCGTAGAGGCTGGGGCTGAGCCAGCCTTTAGACAGTCCCAGGTTGACTTTAGGTGCAGGAGCCGTGACATGCGGGCCCAGCTGAGGGCGGGCGTGGCGGGGGGCCCGGGGGGGGGGGCTAGGGGCCCCCGGGAGGCGGGGCTGCGTGTGGAGGGGCAGGCTCGCCGTGCACCCCGAGCGTTCACATCACACAGCGGCGGCCCTCCTGTGCGCTGTTCTGGGTGGCACCGTTCTTGTCTGGCCTCAGGAGCATCACAGGAAGATGCCACCTGAGACGCAGCCGCGTCGGGTCCGAGCCCGTGCCGACGGCACGTCTGCCTTGATGGCACTGAGCCAGAAGTCTCCGTGGCTGGCGGCACAGTAGTGGGGGCTGGGCCGCACTGCACTCAGCACTGGCCGTGGCGAACTTGCAGTGGGCAGCTTTGCGCCTCCTCAGCTGAAGCTGTTAGGCAGAGCTCTCCTAATTGCAGGGGTCCTGGAGGCCGTTGCAGGAGGCAGAGACGGCTCGGCCTGCTGCTGAGACCTACGTCCCTGCGCAGACAGGCCCCGCCCCCACCCCCGGCCCCTGGCCCCCAGTAGATGTAGGTGCAGGCCCTGAGCGTACATGCGAGCTGACAGACACGTGGCCTCTGTCCTCCAGCCCGGAGAAGCCGACGGAGAGGACAAGGTAGATGCTGGCTGCCTGCACGTCCCCCAGATGGTGGCCAGGAGGCCCCTCCGCGACTTTGCTGGGCTGGAGGACTGTGACGAGCCCACTCGAGACGCCATGCTCAACTTCAGTTTCTTCGTCGCCGTCGGGGACATGGATGAAGCCTTCAAGTCCATTAAGCTCATCAAAAGGTGAGTCACCGGCTCGTGGCTGCCATGGTGAAGCCGCTCACCGCCGTGTGCCGAGCATGCAGGAGCTGGGATGTGCCCGGGTGTCGTGCGCACCACGGTGCTGGTGCAGCACGGCTGGGCATGGGCACGGTGAGCCCAGTGGCCTCTGGTGGCCTTTCAGACTGCCGCGTAACTGTCCTGGCTTGTCCAGCACGCCCTGGACTCTTCCCAGTTGAAGGCCTCGCAGTTCCTAGCCATGTGGTGTGCCTGTCCCTCTGGAGATAGCTGTTACAAAAGAGAAAAGGTTTTGCTACGTGAAGGCGTAGAGTGGCAGGTGGAGGAGGCTGGGGTTGCTCTGAGCAAACCCACCGTTGGGGCTGCCCACAGCCCCTCCCTCCACTCCCGAGAGGGCTCCGAGCCCTTCACAAGAGCACTAGAAGTGCCGGCTTCCCGAGGTGGGCGACCACTGGGGGGAGCCCGGAGTGGGAAAGGGACGGCGTGGACGTAGGTGGTCTGGGGCGGGCCTGCCATCTTGCGGGGGTGCTTCTGTAGCACAGGGCGTTCTAGAGGCCACGGCCCCCCTCACCTTCCTGAAACAGTGGGAGCCTCTCCATGCTGGCCTCCCGGAGAGGAGGCCCCCCTCTTGAGAGTGGACCACACGGGCGAGCGGCCCGACCCGGGCTCTCCTGACGGCTGTCGCTGATGCAGACATGCTCACAGACGCAGCGTGCTACGCGGCCAAGTCTGGGCCCCGGTGCATTCACGGTCACATGGGACCGGCAGTACGCAGTGTCCTGAGTGTCCCGTTCCTGTGTGTGCACGTGCACGCGTGCCCCAGAGACCTGGCAAGAGTGGGAGGGGATAAAGCACCCCTGGGGGCGTCACACCACAATCCCTCCTCCCACTCCTCCCTCCCTTTGGGATTTCAGCCACTCGGACCCGGCGGGGGGGCTCTCCAGCTGCCAAGGCCAGGCCTCAGACCGTGCAGTCAGCTGTGTGGGCCAGCCACCACGGGCCGGCCTCCGTTCCTTGTCTTCTCTGTTTTAGGGTTCTCTATAGGGCATGACCTGCCAGAGACAGGCGGCAAAGGAACCCCCACCCCGAGGGGGTGGCCATGCCACAGTCCCTTCTCCGTCATCCTGTCAGGGTGTGGGGCACACACATGTGTGCCTGGCGTGTTTTCCAGGCTGCCGGATCCAGGATTCAAGTGTGTCCGCTCTGTGGGATCCACAACCTTGGCCCTCCATCATGCTTTTGAAGAGCAGCCATTTTTAGCATATGGTTGGAAGTACTGGCCCTTTATGGGACGACGTGGCCCACGGCCGTTGGCGGTGTGCTGCATGTGAACCACGGTCTGCTTTGCACCCGGCTGCGTGACACATAGCCCGCCACACACGCCTTCCGGTCTTGGCAGTCACTCTGTGCGTTAGGTTTTTAAAGTGCCAGCTCCAAAGACAGATTCTCTGAGCAATCCGGGCCTCAAACTCCAGACCCATCCCGTCCCTTGCTGGGGGGCAGAAAGCAGCCTGGGAGACACTTGGAGGACAGTCTGAGGCCCAGGGCTCCCCCTGCAGTGTCAGGCTCCTTCCAGCAGGTGGTGCCAGGGAGCTCCATCTCCCAGTGCCACGGGGCCAGGCCTTGTGGAGCACAGCCCTGGGAGCTGCAGGTCAGGGCACACGGCGGGCACCATGCAGACATCCGGGAGCCCCGCCAGCCCTTGGGGAAGAGAGGGTGGAGATGATTCTTGGAAAAAACAGCGAGCAGTGAACCAGTCTCTTAGGGGTTTTCTTAAAGCCAACCGATGTCATGCCTCTGCCCCACTGGCTGTTGACGACCAGCCCACGACCGTGGTCTGCAGAGGCCACCTGGAGCACGTGGCCTGGGGCTCTGTGTCTTTTCACCCCCGCGGCAGGAAAGATGGAGAAAACACAACATCCGCAGTTAGTGCTCGCGTTTATTTTAACTTAGATAAGTACTCGGGGCAGAGCCTGCACTGCGGACACGACCCTGCCCCACGGCCAGAGATCGGCCTGGCCCCAGGGACGTTGCATTATTCCGAGGTCCCCTTAGCATCTGTCTCCCAGCGCGACGCTTGCTCGGGCTGCCCCAGAGCAGATGTGCCTCGACATGTCCCCACCGAGCCTCGCGGCCTCCGCCCCAGTGCGGCCTGCCTGGGAGCTGTGTGGTGCCGACCAGGACTGTTAGACTGAGGGCACGTGGTGTGGACGCGTGGCAGGCATTTACAGCGTAGCAAGTGGCCGAGTGTGGGCCGGCATGGCCACCCCTGCCCGCACCCCGCAGGAGGAGTGCGGCTTCCCCGTCTCCAGACCCCCAGTCAGGCCCCAGGAGGGCCCTCAGCACGGGGACTCCACGTAGTCGTTGTCCGGTCCCCGGCGGAACCGCGCCGCCAGGGAGCGGCTGATGAGGATGACACGGGGTGCCGCGCAGTCCTCCCTTCTGTGGAGGACGTTCCAGCTGAGCATGGCGGCCGCCAGTGCGGCCGGGAGGCAGGCACCGATGTTCAGGTAGCAGGACCAGGACAGGCTGGTGTGCGGGCCGACCCTGTAGAAGGTCACCAGCCCGATGACCAGCACAAAACCTGTGGGCAAGAGAGGGCTTCAGGAGCCTGCGCCGACAGCCTGCGAGAGGCGGCCCGGGCTCCCCGCGGCCTCTGTCCTTGTGTGGCCCAGAGTGGCTCCCGGCCTGTGGCTCTGGTGGCTGCAAGGGGGGTGGTGTGTGTCCCTTAACCCAGCACGGATGGCTCCCAGAGGACCTTGGCCTGCCGTCCCTGTGACCTGGCCAGCAGCCAGCCTCTTCCCTAGAGTCAGCGTCAGTGCCAAGGCCCCGCATCGCACTGCATCCCCAGCCCTGGGACAGGCCCAGCAGGAACCGTGCTCCGTTGTGCTAAGTCCCTCTCACTTTCCTAAGTGTCTGGCGGGCTCCGAGTCAGAGCACAGGTCTCCCGCACTGCCCTGCACACAGCCTGGCCCACCTGTGCTGCTTTGGGTCCCCCCAGGTTTCCATTCTCAACTCAAGATGGCCTGAGTGCCCTGGGGAGGGGGCAGGCAGGACAGGCAGGTCCCGGAGACTGGTGCTCTGCCCCAGGGGCCCCAGCGGCTCTGCAGCCCCTGCCCATCCTAGTCTGTCCCACCCTCACCCTGCCGTGCTGGCCCGAGCTGGAGCTGTGGCTAATGCGTGACTCCCCCCAGCCCCCGGGCCACTTTAAGGGGCTCCAAAGACAGGACTTTGCGCACTCCCCAGCAGGAGTCCGCGTTTTACACTGAATCTGTTGGGTATTGAAGGCTAACAGGACCTGGTGTTAGCAAGAGGAGGCGGCTCTGGGAACCCAGACCCTGGGTTGCCTCCCCAGAAGCCGGGCCATGGCTGCCACCTCACGCCTGCCATAGCGTGGACATGCCCAGAAGGCTCCTAGGAGCCAGAGGCCCAGCAGGAGCGAGCAGGGTGGTCACGCACAGGCCTGGCTGTGCCGGGGTACTGGGGCAGTCTGTGTCAGGTGCCTCACTGCCAGAGCGCCAAACTGCTCTGGTCGGCATTGTGCTGTCCGGCCCGGCCTGGGCTCTGGCCATGCAGTCACCTGTCCCTGTCCCTGCACTTGGCCTGCGCCTCTGAGGCCCACACTCCCACCACTCCCAGGAGCCTGCCAGCCTTCCTCAGGAGACCAAGTCACACGGGGCTCCAGGGCAGAGAGTGGGATAGGGAGGGAGGGGACGGGACCACTTTGACATTGTCCCTTCCAGAAAACGTGAATGAACATGTCTGCCTCCTGTCTGTCCTGGACAGTGACAGTGACTGAGCACATTACTACTTCATTACACCCCACGGGGTGCTTCGTACATGGAAAACTCTTGGGTACTTCCTTCCCGTTAAAAGTGACATTCTAGGGACCAGCAGTTGCATAATGGCTATGTCGCTAGACTCGTGTATTACAGTCAACCGCGATTCGAGTCCCAAACCCGGCGGCTTAAACTCACGCTGAGCACGTGTGCATGCGTGCCCATGATCCCGAGAGGAGAATGGAGGAGAAGGGATTGCGGCGTGGCCATCCCCCTGGGGGGTGATTTCTCGCTTTCTGTCTCTCTGTCTCTGTCTGTCTGGCGAGCGCACACGCCCTGTAGCAAAAACCTCTCCAAAAAAACAAAAGCAGTGACTTGGTGGGCCGTGTGGTCTGGTAGTCAGGGTGGCTGGACCCCACGAGGCTGATGGTGGTTCACATTATGGACCTGACAGCTTGACACCCACCAGGCGCGTGTGCGTGTCCCCAAGTCCCGAGGAGACTGGCACGACTGTCCCCCGGGGGGTTCTTGCTTCCCCTGTCTCTCCCCAAGGAGTGCATGTGCCCTATAGCAAAAACCTAGACAAAGTGTTCTGCTTCTAAGACGTCCTGACCGAGGAGATGGGGTCCCCGTGTCCAGGGAAGGGCCTCCAGCACCCAGCGCCGACAGTGTGGGCGCCAAGTCTGCGTGGCAGCCCCCGGCTGTGCTTGTCCTGGCCTGCCTGGGTGCCTGCTTGTGTCGAGACCGCAGGTGAGCCAGGCGATAGCAGCGGGTGTCCGGGAGCTTGCCCAGGCAGGGGCAAGCACCCTCCCCCACTGCGCTTCCTTCATGCTGTACCCGCATGGCCGCCCTCCCGCCCTGCTGCATCACGGTGTGCGGTGGAGCCTGTGTGGACTGCGGCCCCTCCCGCCGTGGAGCTGCCCGAGGCCCGGCTTGGGTCGGTCTGTCACCGCTCACTTCACGGAACTTGAGCCACACAGTTGTGCATTATGAAGAGGTGCCAAGGGCTGCCCCGAGCCAGGAGGGTGGAGACTGCTCCCGGCCGGGGCTGGTGG